AAAATCAAATCAATGGAAAAGTTGCCGCAATCTGGAGCCTCTCATCCCTGCCTGGAGCCGCTCCAGGCAGGGATCTGTGTCTCCATGGATCCGCGCTGCTCTCCCCCACTTGAAGGGGCTGAGGCAGCGGGGATCCGAAAAAAATATCTGGCGGGGGGCGGAGGACCGAGCGGCTCGATCACTATGATCAAGCGGCATGAGAGAGTGGCGGGCGGGGAGGAGAGAGCAGCCGCTGTCATCCTGTCAGTTTCAGGATGACAGCGGCTCTGTGCGTGGCCGAGCGGAGGATCGATAAATATCTGTGTTAAGGACAAACACTGGAGTGATTGTCTGATTTAGATCACTTCCTGTTCATTCATGATTTTCTCAATGGGGAGAAGCAGCTCACTACAGAGGCTTTTCCCCATTCAGAAACTGGTGATAGTAAAAATTTTACTATCACCAGTTTCTGAATGAATGCCTCTGTACTGAGTGCTTTCCATTCATTGAGTGCTGAATTTCTTTTTTTTTTATTTCCTCAATTTCTGTCCTCAATTTCTTTTTTTTTTATTTCAAAAGGGAAATGTCAGGGGTCTGTTTAGACCAGTAATATTTCCCCGAAGCCCCCCAACAGTAAAAAAAAAAATGTAAAGAAAAAAGAAGAATTATTAAAAATAAATAAAAAATGTGTTAAAAAGAAACAAAAAACAAAAAAAGCACAACCCCCCTGCCCCCACACACACACATAACATACACATGCACCATATTGCGGTGTACACCATGCACATGCGCTGCAGTGCGTTGTTAGAATGCATCGCATAATTTTATCTTTAAAAAAACATTAATTTAACTGTGTCAGCGCATGGCAAAGCTTTGTGACGCATTGCCGTGCGTTGTGATACCTTGTGTTGCAATTATATATACGCCTGTATCATTTTATCACAACAGAAACACAATGCAAAAACGATTTTTGACATAAGTCGCTTATTTACCTTTTTGCGCAAAAAAACCTGTAAAAAGACGCAATTTCTAAATTTCAGGTGCAAAATGTTTCAGAGGGCTTGGCAGCGAAAGGGGTAAACGCGCAAAAACGCTCACAAAATGTGCAACATGCTTCTGCCGCGCTTTTTGGCCATTTTTATTTTAGTCCTGTGGCAAAAACGCACTTTTAATTGTCTAAAGAAGCTTGTGTACATTTTGGGGCATTTGGCTTCTTCCTACGGGCGTTTTTCTGCTCAGGTGTGAACCAGGGCCATTAAAAATCATGGGATTTCTTGTGTTGGGCATTTATAAGTGCTTTTCCAACTGCTCAAAAACTCCTAGATGTGAACCAGGCCTAACAGACTCTGCAGAAGATGCTGCATCTGCCAAATAAACCACTGACCTACCTACAACTGACAAGGTATTCAAAACCTACTCAGCTGCAGCCCCATGTGATAAATGTTGTGAGATGCTTTCCAACCACAAATCCACATCCCTGGCTAAATAGATGGACATTAGCACAGGGGCCATAGTGGAGGAACTGCCACCCTAAGCTTTCCTCAGAAGTGCTTCTATATTGCGGTATATCTGGTCTTTGATGTTTCCAGAATCCTTAAAGGCTAAACCCATGTTCTTAGAAACTTGAGACAGAGCAGCATCAAGTTTGCGAACTTTAAAGAATGTTTACTCTTCCTCTTTATTAAAAGGGAAAACTCCTTTTCCTGGATTTCATATTTATTATTTTCTTTTCAGGATCTTTCCATTCCCTGAGAATAAAATCTTTCAGGGACTGAGAAAAGGAAGAACCCTCCCTTGGGATTTTTAATAGCTCCATGTACATTCTATCCTGAACTGAAAGTTCCTTAGGAGGATCAGGGATTTATTCATTGGAAGAAATAGCTTCAAGTAATCCATTTAATCCAAAACAAATGTCTAGCTGTGCAGGTATGTCAGCCTCATCTATATTTTGCAAGTCTACCAATTTACCTTCCTCCCCCAAACTATTAAGAGGAAGCAATAGCTTCAAAATCCTCTTCTTCCTTGTGAGTGACAAAGGAGGGACACATATTGCAAGGAGGCAGAGTCGAAGTAGAAGGGCCAGCTCTGGCAGTAGACAGCAAAACTCATTAAAAATTAAAAGCCATTTTGATGGCTTGAAAGGTGAATACCATTTCAGTCCACATAGTGGTCATAAGTCTTCATAATGGCAGAATTTTCACATGCAGTAAGCTTTTGGATACATTAAAAACAGAACAGCTTTGGATGAGGTGATGATAGTCTAATATTACAGTTCCCACAGCCTTTACTACTCCTAATCTTAGAAACCAAAGTAGCAGGTGGCTTGGAAGGAGCATCAGTAGCAGGTCTGTGTGACAAAGAAGCCTCCGCAGATTTAAAAAAAAAAAAAAAGATATGACTGAAAGCAGAACAGACTGCTCCAGGGAGTCATGGAGGAGGGGGGGCGGAGATGGAGGCTGGGTACCTCAAGATCCCTTATGGCGGTGGCAGGGAAAGGGTTAAACCCATCTGCAGGTTGCTGGGGTGCAGCCATCGCCACCATCCCCTCCTCTAAGTACGCCATTCAGAAAGAGCATCATTTCTCCACTCCATCCTGCCAGGTGCCGACTGAAGGAATGAAGGCAGCCGAAGTGACATCATCCCGGCTGCCAGAAGTGACATCACACATTCCCAAAAGGAAACTTGAGACGCACACAGCTACGATTAGGTATAAAAGGTGCTTTCCCCCTCCTCCTGCCACACACAGCTCCAATAGTCAATGAGAAAGGCAGCTGTCAACTGCTGCTGATGCAAGGACAGTGCACCATGGTAGGGGCTTCAGGGGTCAATAACCAACAGCAAATGGGTCAAGCTGCTAGAAGGAAAAAGGGAGGGGGGGACCTCCACATGCCCACAGAAAGGCCATCGCATCAAATGCTCAGCAGATCTGCACCCAGGGGGGGACTGCCAACCCAAAGGCCATCCAGTTTAAACAGCAAAAAAACATTGTGCAACTCCTGGAGATAGGAAACCCAATCTAACTGAAGAAGGGAGGGGGAGAAAGTTTTCACTGTTATCATTGTGTTTTCTGTATAGAAAGAACCCATCATCTCTCAAGTTGCTGTCCAGGAAAATTACTGTGGAAACTACCTGTTCTACTCAAATTGTAACAAGTAGGAAAAGAAAATTGGTTTGGTGCCTGCAGCGAAATTATATCACTAGAACCCTGGAGAAAATACATTTTGACTGAAGGGAGAGTAACAAAAAGATACATAGTTGACACCAACATATAGCTACAAATACATTTGACCTTACCAAGATTTAGGTTCACCAAAGTGTAGATAGTTAACGCTGTAGAGATCCATGTCCTCCGTATGCCAAGCAAATGTTGTCTTCCACATCCCAAAATAGAGGTAAGGCGTATTAACACCTTCAATAATAATGCCACACTCATGCTCCACCATATCTAGAAGAGTATTAAGGCTTGCAATGTTCCACAAATGGACATCCTATGAAAATTGAAAGAGATGTATTAAAAACAAAAAAGGGTAAAAATCTTGTCAACACAGGGGTGTAGAATTCCTATTGCCAAAGGCCCAGGACATGCAGTTCCGGGTACCAGGCCCGTTTTTTTTCTCTTTTCTATATTTAGCCCAGGCAAGCAGCAAGGCTAAATATAGAGCAGGGTAGCCGTTTTGTACACGTGATCTTAAACCCCTTCATGGTCCAGCCATCCCCCCCTTCTCCGAACTGCTCTGTTTGATCAGTGAGACAGGAGTGCTGTAAAGAGAACCTGGCGCCTCCAAACATTATCACATAGGGGCTTGTTATCCTCTGTGTGATAGCAATAAAGATAAGTGAAAAAATAAAATAAATAAAAATTTCAAAAATTATAAAAAAAAGTAAGAAAATATAATAAAAAAGTGATACAGTTAAAAATAAATCAAAATGTCCCATCTTGCATGCGCAAGGGCATTATGTGTGTGTTTGTCCCCATTTCACTGTGTGACATATTGTGGTAGCCGGGTAGCCAGTGGCGCTTTCTAACAAGCACAATGTGCATTAAAGTTTAGTAATTTGGGAAAACAGAATTACCTGCTCAAATCTGGCCCCCCTGCTACCCTACCTTCCGGCAAATTGTCCTTCCCCTCCGCCGGTACGGGTATACTATCTGTACCCCATACTGCCGTCCAACACAGTCCTGTGCTATGGATTTTGAACTTTGCTCGCAAATTGCAAGCACTCATTAGTCAGCACAGTCACCTTAATGCGCTGACCAATGAGGAGCGCTTCTTAGCAAGGTTAAATATGGTTTTGGTTAAGTACAGTTATAAATCATGAAACTATAAAGAAGGCTTACATTGTCATAGAGAGAGCCACTGATATCTGCTCCATATATGGGAGACATGAAAGTTAAATTCTTCCAATATTTGCGTTCCAAATCATCAAAGTCTTGGTGCCGCGGGGTACAGTACCTAGTGATGACAGAACATATTACATTCCAGAAATACTTTTATATACTTTTTAGGTTTCCTTTGCTGCACTATAAAATTTCAAAATTTCATACAGCTCTTGACAACACTACCATTTATACCCTAAAAAAGGTAAATGAAAATATACATGCTCTACAGATCAGGACTAGACATGCTAGTAACCAGGTCAAGGTACCCTGGTGACAAAAATGTCCTACACGAGACTATATACACTTCCCAAATACCACGGGATGTTCACTCCGATCCAAGGTTACTGCATCACTGTCCTGTGCCCAACTTGTAAACATAAATCAAAACACATCCTCTTGTCATATCCAAAATACCATTGATAATAGTCCAAATAAAAAGTGATTTCAATTGTGTGTTTTCACAGAATGATCAAATTTACAACACATGAGATTAGGTAACAGCGAAAAGGGTAGTCAATATCACACAGCAATATTGAATTTATACGGTACTCTTCTGATCTTTCTTGCTCAATGATCCTAAATGCGCTCTATGTTGCACTCACCAGATATCTGCTAGATCTTGCTTTCATAGTCAGATTTAGATCATGAGCGGCTTCCTCCAACTAATTCCTCTCATCAGTTTGTCTATGGGCACCTCTCGCGGGGTCTAATCTCCTTATCACTCATTTTTTGCTGTTAATCTCCTCTCTATACTAAGTGATATCCTCCCACAGGGTTTCAGAGGAAACAAAGAAAGAGGGGCTTCCATTGGGCAGTATGTTATAAAAGTGGTTTTATTAAAATTAAAAATGCACTTACAAGCAGTATGCACGGAAACCGCTTTGCAATGCTCCAAGCACGGGAAACAGCGATAGACTCTTCCTCCTTACAACGTTTCGTCATGTGACTTTTTCAAAAGGGGTGCGAGTATCGATGTTTCTCGTCATTCTGATTTATATAAATCTGAGCTGCCGTTAACTCCTTCATCACCATCTGTCAGTGGCACTCTTATTTACTTATCGAATGGGCTTATATAAATAATAAGTAAATAATAAATAATAATAACCAATAATAAATAAATAATAATAAGCTTTAATAAATCAATCAAACATGCATGTTGGTCCCTATCCTTGATGCTAGATTTAACATGTCAACCAACAAGACCTAGAACTCCATGATATAGATAAAATCTATTTAAATAATTGTATTTTAATAATATAGCATGACATTAAAATCCATATTATTAAACATGTCATTCTAAACTTCTTCTCACGAGCTAAAATAAAGGTGCATAAATGATGGAATGTCTGAACCTTCAATCATCAGCTATACTGTGTTTCTGAGATTAGTATGCTCTATCCCCAAGGGTCCAACACACAAACAGGATTGGGGAATAGTCTTGTTTTGCAAGACAGGTTAATTCAATGTCTGTCTTCTCACTGTGAGTCACTTCTGGATAAAAATTAATTTTACTATGACATCCTTGTAATATGGGAGGTGGCACCAAACAATCTCTGGTTACCCCGCACATCCCCGATGACCCCACACATCTCCGGTGACTCCAAACAATCTTTGGTGACCCCATACATCTCTGGTGACACCATACAATCTCCGGTGACACCAAACAATTTTCAGTGACCCCGCACATCCCCGGTGACCCCGCACATCCCCGGTGACACCACTTTTCTCCGGTGACTCCAACCAATCTCCAGTAACCCCGCATTTCTCCGGTGACCCCAAACAATCTCTGGTGACCCCGCACATCCCGGTGACACCGCACAGTGGGGGGATCTATCAAAACAGGAGCAGGCAAAATCTGGAGCAGATTTGCACTGCAACCAACGGCTCCAGATTCTGTTTGCTCCAGTTTTGATCAATTACCACCCAATGTCTTTTTATCTGTTCTGTCATATCTGTAAATGGGAAGAATGGTGGGGGGAGGGGAGGGGGGACATGGACTTGGGGCAGAAGAGAGTAAATGTGACCCAGGATAAGGGGGAGAGAGAGAGAAAGAGAAAAAGAAAGAGAAAGAGAAAGAGAGAGAGGACAAGTGCAGGAGATTCTTTATCACACACTGACAGGAGATCATCTCCCTCATACACACACAGAGCTATGAGTCATCTCTGCTCAGAGGGGAGGGGGGGATCAGCTGATTGCAGTTTAGAGATAACAACCTGACCCTCTGAGAGATGGATTGAAGATCTTGTGGAGGGAATTTTGAACTTCTAGGTCTCTGGCTTGTGAAAGAGTCTATAAAATAAAGTATGAAAAACAGCCCTATGACTCCTGAGAATGCACACACATGTACATCCCCCTGCACCTCCCCATTACCACAAAAAAACTCAAAATCACTTACAAAAAGTGGAAATGTCCTTTAAACTCTATCTGACATCATGATGCCACCCCTTGTCCAATCAGTAAATGGTAGTATTCACTGAGAAATAGGGTTGTCCCGATACCGATGCTAGTACCAGTATCGGGGCCGATACAGGGCATTTTCAGGAGTACTTGTACTCCTGAAAATGCCCCGATGCCTAGATCAGATACTGGCCGTTTAAATTTTTACAACTAGCTTCAGCCATTGAACCCCATAGCCCTTCCCCCGGAATACCTCTCCACCAAACGAGGCTCCCTCTCCGCTCTGACCTCTCCGGAAGTGTGACAGCATGGCGAAGGTAAGTGTTGTGTGGACAGACTCTTCTCCCTGCTGGTGCTGGCTGCAGAGCTCTGTGTCCCTTTCACTGTGATCCCCCGTGCCCCCCTCCCCCCTGTATCTTAGCTGCTGCTGTTCCTCCGTGTCCCGTCCTTTTCAACTTTATGAATCGGTTGCCTTTTGGCGATATATCTCAGTGTGAGATGCCCGTGCTCCTTGCTGCACAGCAGTTTTTACTCTCATTGTAAGAAGAGAATGTCCGTTCAATGTGCTCACGGGGAGAGAAGCTGTAAATCTTGCCTTCACACAGAACAGACATTCTCTTCTTTCATTGAGAGGGAAAACTTCTGTGTGGGTCTGGTGAGAGCATTATTAAACACATAAGGAGCATGGATGAAACATACTAGGCGTACTCTAAATGTGTGCTAAACACAGTGAGCGACTCTGTTTTATCAGCACAAGGATACAGCAGGGACCTGGAAGACGCTGTAATACACTGCAGTAGCTGTACGGCATAGGGGACAGTCTTTAACCCCTTCATGACTGAGGCCCTTTTTTCATTTTTTGCACCCATGTTATATTCCACATTTTATCCACCATTAAACCCAGCACCTTCAAGCAAAAGTGAATGGTCAAGAGTCCCTGGACTGCAAGGTCTGAGAATGGGAGAGGAGAAAGAGAGAGTATTTTTTGGCCAGAGAAAGAAGATGCTGCACAGGGCCGTGTTCAAGACCTGGGCCAGGTACTCCAAGTGATTGAAGTGTTCCAGCGTCTACGTATGTAGATTAAGGAACCATCCAAAGCTCTGCAAGGCTTATATTATCCGATGAATGTTGGACAATAAGGTTTGTGCTGGCTGCTCTGTGCGGTATACTCTGTGTAAGTATACCACTATGGAGATCCTCGGAGTCTGAAGCAGAGCCAAAACAGGGAAAAGTACCATGGTAAAGACTCGAGGTGCAGTAAAAAGGGCGAAAAGAAGGGCAACAAAATTGGTAGGCAGTATTGTGTGTACACAGCAAAACAGAGGTAGCATTGATGGGAGGGAAAAATGGAAATGTCCAAATATACATCCTAGATGTGTACTGATGGCAGAAAGTCTCCAAGGTGAAGGGAGACGATGACCCATTAAGAATATTCAGATCAAGAATAGGGCAGGGCAGATCTCCTGCTTTGGGGATAGCAAGCAGGAGAATTTTGCTGCTGAAGGCTTGGACTTCCGTGGTTCAAAGGGTGTTCTTAACCCCCTTACTTCCTTGATGCAAGTATCAAAGGAGTAACCAAATGGGGCAGAAGACACATTGATGACACAAAAGAGGTCTGACATATCACCATAGTGCGAAGATCAAAATAGTATACCAGCATAAGCAAGAAAAACAATATGTTTGCTGATTTAGGTCTACTTTTCCTTGGCACTTTGGGTTTCTATTCTCATAATCACCCTTTAGCATAGCACCAAAGCATAGCAGTTTCAAACCTTCACATGGGCTTCAGCTTGTATAAGAGCAGTGGGTATAGTTTTTGCAAACTTTCAGTAAGCTTCGAGCAGGTTTGTTCAAGCCTTTAGGGCACCATTTAGCTCCAGTTTGGGAAGGTTAAAAAAAGAGAAGTAAAGCCAAACCTTTATTTGACTTTGCAAGAAGCGAGGACTGACACTCACCGCTCTGTGCATGGAGAAGACCGCGAGCTGAGCGGTTGGTCTATAGATCTTGGTTTTGCCTGATGAAGGGGTTCCTGTGTGTCCCCGAAACGTCGCACTAAGTGTGTTATTTTGCTTTTGATGTACGTCAATAAATAGACGTAATCGATTTACTATTGGAGTGCCGGTGTCTATTTCTTTTCTGCATTACTTTGACGGTGGCCATCCGTCGACTACTGAGCACCCAGGATACTTTGTTGGACGTGCGGTCAGGAGTGCAATGGGTACATGGACTGTGGTCTATAGATCTGGCAGATGACTGCTGCAGTGTTACAAGCTGGCTCCAAGTACAGGGAAGAGTACATTTTTTTTCTCCCTTGTCCCTCATGACTTCTTCAAACCTTCTCCTCGGAAAGACCATTCTCTGGAGTCCAGACGCTGATGAACAAAGAAGTCTGCCTGTCAATTTTCCTTGTCTGGGGCATACACAAAAGGTATGGACTGGAACAGGAATTTCCACCCAGACGAGAAGCAGATGCGCTTCCATGTGTTGTTTACGGAACATCATATTTTGTTTCCCCCAAAGCACGATGTAAGTCACTTCCGTGGTTAGGAATGATGGAATCCTGGTCGGATGACCTAGCAGACAAGAGGTCCGAATCACCTTAAGTTCCGAAATGCTTAGCAGAAGATAAGTTTCTTCGTACAAAAACGGTACCAAGAACTCCTCCGCAGCCACACAGGTTGGCATTTATCGTTAACACCTACCAAACAATCGGGAGAAAGGATTTTCCCTAGTCCTGTCAAAAGTATGGCCCACCATGCCATGGATAGCTTGGTCCTGCTGGACAGGTGAATAGGACAAACCAGAGACTGCACCCACCTGCCCCAGGCTGCCAGAATGGTAAGTTGCAATGTTTTGGGGTGAAAGAGTACATGGGACTGCCTCAAAAACATTTGCAGCACTATGTGCCAAGGTGAGCACCCCACACAGGATCCAGTGCTGAAAGCAGCCCTACATCTTCTTCCTGGCAGGGTCCACGTATGGTAGCTCAGCCAAGGATTGCAGATCCAGAAGCAGATAACTTGGGCCGCAGTGGCTGTGTAGCAGTAATAAGAGTCTTGATTGTAGGAAAAAAATTGTAAAAAAAAAAAATCAAGTGTTAAGGCCCGTTCAGACTAATCCGCACACTAAAATTATCTGTTTTAGTTTGTGGTCTGGTGTCTGTGTGTGTTGGTATTGGGGGGCATTGTTTTGTGTCTTTTGCATGCTGCATTTTTTCATGCCTCTCTAAGTTGTGGTGTGAATGGGGCACAGAAAAGAGTTGTTTTAACTGCTGAAAAAAGTGGTAACAGGAGTTCACATTTAATTTGTTCGTCAAGCCCATCTAAATCCACTAGCTCATCTAACACTACCCTCTCCACAGGGTGACAACTCTGCTGTCCAAGGGTGAGTCAGTTACTCCTCCATATGGAGCCACACTCAGACATGAAGTGTGTTACTGGCCAAATCCCCAGGTGAAAATAAAAGGAAAAAAGAAAACCGAGTCAGCCACCACATTTAGGAAATGGTAAGCTGCAATATATTAAATGTTTGTTTTACCCTACATTATAATAATACAATTTTTTTTAAAAATCACCAAAATAACAAACTTTCTTAGAGACAATAAAAAATGGAATTCTTGAGGTAAGTGACCTAGAGGACGAACTGCCATAACCACCCCTTTGTCTAATCTGCGTACTGAATACATTTATATTAAGTGTGTTGTTTACAGAACTCCAGTACAAATTTACACTAACAAATTACAGGAATATTTACCCCCTCCCTCCCTCCCTGTTTTGTTCAGAGAGACCTTTTAAACCTGAACTCCAGGCAGATATTAAAAAAGAAAAAAAAGAAAAAAAAATTATGCTACGGTGTATTCCTCTAAAAATAAATAGACATATTTGACATACTAGAAGCATAGAAAACTGAATCTGCTTCCTGTCAGTAGGACTCGGAGAGGAAAAGGAGCTATTCAAGCTTTGTACGTGTGGGCAAGGTAACATGCTAATAAATGGCGAGTTCAGAGAGCTGATGACTTGGTGTGTTGCTGGCTCCTTGAATGTCCAAACAGCAGAGTGCGGAGAAGCAACGCCATTGTATGTATAAACTGGTATCACCCACCTGTCTAGCACAGATGTGTAAATCACATGCTAGGTAGAAATACAAATCCTTTGAAAGATGTTCATAACGTGTATTTTAACTGTGTATTTAGCAATTTGTCAAGAATTCGGCTCCTTGTAATAATTAGCAAAGGTAAATAAGTGTGTGCGCGTACCCCTGCAAAACCAATGTCAAGAAATGTCTCCAAGATAAAGCCTTACTTGTCACAGTTGGCTAATTTGCGATATTCTCCCACAGTCATGGGCTTCTTCTGTATGTTATACTGTGTAAAAAGGCCAGACTGGCCAGTAACAACCTGTTGAATTGGAGCAGGAATAACCATATCATCCAGATCATCATAGGTCCGTCTCGGTCGCCACTCTTTTGGAGGGATAATCTAGAGTGAAAAAATGTGTTGAGTTTGAAATATAGTTATGTAAACATTGTGAGGTATTAGCCTGAATTACTACAAGGCCTGAATGCAAGTCATCTGTGAAATATAGGACACCTCCCCTTATGTTATGGAGATAAGGGGGGGGGAATTTTTTGTAGTAGGGATACACCGATGGCGAGTGTTTGGGAGCGTGCGATTACTCGCCTAAATTCTCCGATACCCTCAATACCGGAACTTCTGGCGAGAGGGAGATTTCCTATGAACAGCAGTGCTGCTAGTTGTCTTTTCTCCACATATCACAGTGTTATTTTATCACTTCTCCAGAAAAGCAATAGGCGGTGATAGCAGCAGTGATCTTTCACTGTGATATCAGAAGAAAAGACTTGAGAAAAAAAGAGCAGGGAAGGCTTTCCAGAGATGTACACAGGAATTCCTGGGAGGAAACCTATGATCTTAATAGAAGGGGTCATACGTTTTTCCTCCAACATACAGTTGTGTGAAAAAGTGTTGGCCCCCTTCCTGATTTTTCATTGTTTTGCACGTTTGTCACACTTTAATGTTTCAGATCATCAAACAAATTTAAATATTAGTCAAAGATAACACAAGTAAACACAACATGCAGTTTTTAAAAGGAAGGTTTTGATTATTAAGGGAAAACAAAATCCAAACCCACATGGCCCAGTGTGAAAAAGTGGTTGCCCCCCTCTAAAACATAACTTAACTCTGGTTTATCACACCTGAGTTCAATTTCTCTAGCCACACCTGTTTGCAATCAAGACATCACTTAAATAAGACTTGACTGACAAAGTGAAGTAGACCCAAAAGATCCTCAAAAGCTACACATCATGCAGAGATCCAAAGAAATCCAGGAACAAATGAGAAAGAAAGTAATTGAGATCTATCAGTCTGGAAAAGGTTTTAAAGCCATTTTTAAAGCTTTGGGACTCCAGCGAACCACAGTGAGAGCCAGTATCCACAAATGGCGAAAAACATGGAACAGTGGTGAGCTTTCCCAGGAGTGGGCGGCCAACCAAAATTACCCCAAGAGCGCAGCGACGACTCATCCAAGAGGTCACAAAAGACCCCACAACAACATACAACAACAGAACTGCAGGCCTCACTTGCCTCAGTTCAGGTCAGTGTTCATGACTCCACCATAAGAGACTGGGCAAAAATGGCCTGCATAGCAGAGTTCCAAGACGAAAACCGCTGCTGAGCAAAAAGAACATAAATGCTCGTCTCCCTTATGCCAGAAAACATCTTGATGATTCCCCAAGACTTTTGGGAAAATACTCTATGGACTGACGAGACAAAAGTTGAACTTTTTGGAAGGTGTGTGTCCCATTACATCTGGCGTAAGAGTAACACCGCATTTCAGAAAAAGAACATACCAACAGTAAAATACGGTGGTGGTAGTGTGATGGTCTGGGCCTGTTTGCTGCTTCAGGACCTGTGAGACTTGCTGTGATAAATGGAACCATGAATTCCGCTGTCTACTAAAAAATCCTGAAGGATAATGTGCGCCCATCGTGACCTCAAGCTGAAGCGAACTTGGGTTCTGCAGCAGGACAATGATCCAAAACACACCAGCAAGTCCACCTCTGAATGGCTGAAGAAAAACAAAATTAAGTCTTTGGAGTGGCCTAGTCAAAGTCCTGACCTGAATCCTATTGAGATGCTGTGGCATGCCCCTTCATGCTCGAAAAGCTTCCAATGTGGCTGAATTACAACAATTCTGCAAAGATGAGTGGACCAAAATTCCTGCACAGCGCTGTAACAGACTCATTGCAAGTTATCGCAAACGCTTGATTGCAGTTCTTGCTGCTAAGGGTGGCCCAAGCAGTTATTAGGTTTAGGGGGCAAACACTTTTTCACACAGGGCCATGTGGGTTTGGATTTTGTTTTCCCTTAATAATAAAAACCTTCCTTTAAAAACTGCATGTTGTGTTTACTTGTGTTATCTTTGACTAATATTTAAGTTTGTTTGATGATCTGAAACATTTAAGTGTGACAAACGTGTAAAACAATGAAAAATCAGGAAGGGGGCCAACACTTTTTCACACAACTGTAATAAACTCAAAACACATAAAAACACCCAATATTATTTTTTTGTATTATAGCAAGCCCCCTAAAAATGAACATTACTCCAATAAAGCTTGAGAGGCTTTTTCTGTTTTGGACAGTAAAAATATGATTTCTTTTTTCATTTCCTTTTTTTTAATTGCAAACTATTTTGTAATAACCTGTGTGGCCATAAAATTATGGGCTCGCTGACACCAGGTGCATTTAATTGCATTAATCAATTAGATCAGGGGTCAGCAACCTGTGGCTCCGGAGACGCATGTGGCTCTTTCATCCCTCTGCTGCGGCTCCCTGTCCAGGGGCGGAACTACCGCCGTGGCCTCTGGGCCTGAGGCTGTAGGGGGGGGCCCAGTGAGGTCCGGTCCTGGGCCCCCCCCCCCGGTGGAATATGCGGCAGTGCAGGGTCTTCTCAGAAAGGGGGCGGGCCCTGTGACTCACCTCCTCTCCCGGCCTACGTTACAATGTATGACCGTTGACGTGGTCACACATTTCAATGTAATCCCGCCCAGTTTTCTGTGACTGCCAATAGGTCAAGCATTCCAACACTTTCTCAGCTTTCCCAGGGCAGATCGGCATTGCAAATCGTATGTGCAGGAGAACCGATCTGCCCTGGAACAGCTGATCGGTCCTGAAATGTCACTTCTGTCCAACTTTGTGAGTGGGGTGGAATGTGAGATCGCACTCACAGAGTCAAATAGAAGTGACATTTCAGGATTGATCAGCTGTTCCAGGGCAGGTCGGTTCTCCTGCACATACGATTTGCTATGCCAATCTGCCCTGGAAAAGCTGAGAAAGTGTTGGAATGCTTGACCTATTGGCAGTCACAGAAAACTGGGCGGGATTACATTGAACTGTGTGACCACGTCACCGGTCATACATTGTAACGTAGTCACATTTGATAGAACGCCATCAGGAGGGTACGGCTGGTACCCATGTGAGGGTTCTGGGCAGCCTGGGGGACCACTTACATGACCATCAGCTGAACCAGGGGCGGCATGGCAGAGGTGACAGGGGAGGGGGTGGAGGAGGCCGGGCCCCCAACAGTTAAGAGGAGTTGGGAGGAGGTACAGGGAAAGGGACCCTAGTGACCAGCCCACCTGAGGCCCTGCAGAGCCCACCATAGAGAGTCTCAGATGGGCTGTGCAGGATCTATGGTGTGCTCCGCAGGGTCACTCTCATGTGGACTCTGAGGGGTCTCAGGTAAGCCCCGAGTCCAGTGCGTTACTAAGCCCAGAGTCCAGTGCGTTACTAAACCCAGAGTCCAGTGCGTTACTAAGCCCACATATACCTATATACATGCTATACATAGCATAAAGGTAAAAAACGATATATGCAGTGTTATCTTCATTTTAGATGTCAAAGGGGTTTTGTGTCTCCCGGTGTTTTCTTTTCTGTGGGAAACGGGTCCAAATGGCTCTTTGAGTGTTTAAGGTTGCTGACCCCTGAACTAGATCAACATAGGCTCAATGCAAGGATACTGAGAAAACAAGTGTTCTCTATGTACGCTTTTCACGCCATACAAGTGTGTTGATGTATTGTGCATAACAATGCAGCATGTTTGCATTTCTATGCAACACAACGCAAAACATACGGCAGCATGTTGCATAGAATTGAAGGGTTTGCTTTTTTATTTTTTGTTATTAATTGGGCTCATGCACACCATGTCCAACACAAGTACAAACAGAAAACAATTGTATTCTGTGTGCCCTGTTCACACCATAACATTGCTTTGATGTGTGTTGTGTAAAAAGAATTTCTGCATTTTTGTACAGCACAACGCAACTCACTGCATTCCACTGCAATGCACTGTGGTGCAAAGTTAAATGAATGCTCTAACAGAAAAGAAGCCCCTACGCCCCTTTGTGGATAAATCTTTTCTCCACCAATTTTAGGTGGAGAAAAGATTTAGCCTCTAGTCCTTGTTAGGGAGTTTACTTTAAAAAGTCTAGTGCCGATGTTGCCATCACCACTGAACATTTTGTACAACAAAATCATGTCCCCTCTTTATCTCCTCACTTCCAGGGTGAACAAGTTTAAATTTAGCAACCTTGTCTCGTAGTCTTGATTCTCCAGCCCCTTATTTATCTTGGTTGCTCTTCTTTGGACCTTCTTAAGCTCAAGTACATCTTTTCTGTGGACTGGTGACCACAAATGAACCGCATATTCAAGATGAGGCTGAACCAGTGATCTATAAAGTGGCAAAATTATTGTTTTGTCTCTACAGTACATTTCCTTTGTAATACAGGACAGTACTCTGCTCGCTTTGTTTGCTGCCGCCTGGCATTGTGTGCTGTTATCCAATCTGCGGTCAATTATGACCCCCAAATCTTTTTCCATTTCTGAGTTCCCTAGTTGAGTACCCATTAATGTGTATTACGCTTGCCTGTTTTTAACCCCAAAGTGCATTATTGTACATTTCTCGACATTAAACCTCATCTGCCATGTAGTTGACCACTCCCCTAGTTTATCCAGGTCCTCCTGCAATGTTATGTCTAAGCTCGTGTCTATGACCCTCCCAATTTTAGCATCATCTGCAAACACAGAAATATGGCTATTGACGCACTCCCCAATATTGTTAATAAACAGGTTAAACGGTATTGGGCCTAGCACAGAAACCTGGGGCACGCCACTATCAACCTTAGACCAATGTGAAAAAGAGTCATTTATTAATACTCTGGACGTGTTCCTGTAGCCAGTTCTCTATCCATGTACACAGCATGTCATCTATGCCCATCGATTTAAGCTTGTGAATTAAGCATTTATGTAGTACTGTGTCAAATGCTTTTGCAAAATCTAGGTACACTACATCCACTTGCCTTCCTCTATCCAAATCTCTACTCACCTCTTTGAAGAATGTTAGTAGGTTGGTCTGACAAGAACGGTCCTTCATAAATCCGTGCTGTTTATCACTTATAATACTT